TTGTTTAAAGTTTTGCATAAGTGGCAAACAGGTTTAAGGAGGTGTTTGGCTTTTTGTTTTGTTTTTTCAGATGAGACCAAAACCCTACAAGCAAATAACTGTCTATGACTGAAAACACCGTCACTGTGATGCAGCACGGTGGTGGCAGTATCATTGTCGTATGATGTCCTATAACTTGCTTAGAGTTTATAGGAAGGTGGCTGCAGCGATCTCTATTCAGATTTTTGACTAAGCTTAGGTATGCGTTTTGGGAAACAGGGTTAGATGCTTTGCATTTCTTGGCCCATCTACCAATTCATAGTTTTTATCACACAAACTCCAAACAGCAGTTCTATCTGGAGGAGACCTTATGGTCTCATGGAGAATACCTACAGCTGCTCTCACAACCTGCATGGGTAGAAAGACAGGATGATTGAAAAAAAACGATTATGTCAACAAATTTGAACCAAGTGGGTCAGCCTTGATGGTTCCTATGGGTCTTCGTTCTTTGTGTCTTTTTCCGTCTCCCTCTGACAGTTTTCTTCTGATTCAGCATCCAGAGCTCAGCTCAGACAAGCTGCTCAGTGTTTGCCATGTCTCATTTGTTAACTGTTAAGGAACATAGACTGAATCTTTTGTTGTTGTGTTTTTTTGTCTTTAAGCCTATTTGGTACCATACAATATGGTACAGCTGGCAGGAGTTATATATGAAAATGAGAAATTAGGAAGAAATCTAGTTAGTCTTATGTGACAGAAATATTTATGTTGTGTGATGGACATTGGTTAAAAACAATGAAAAGAGGAGGATATGAATAAAAATAACTCTGAGAGTCTACAGAAGAGTCACCTCCAAGAGTAGAACAACAGGCCCGCAGGTACAGAAATAAACGAGTTTGATACTTTTGCTCAGGTTTTATGTGAAATTTCACATTTTTGCCTGTTCCATGACTTTACTCTGAAAAATGTTCCATTTTGCTCAATCTGACTCTGAAGACAGTTTCCTTTTTTTTTTAAGTGCCTCCTGAAATCTGTACCGCATTAGTACACATGCTAGGATTTAATTTCAGTTGCAGCTTGTCTGTTTTAATTTGCAGACATAATTTATCTTCACACTGACATTTATTTAGGCGTCCTGTGCACTGTGCTTTGACACATCCTTCATATCTGTAACTCATTAAAATGGTATTTATACAAAATGTTCTGGTGTGAGACACAGATCTGCGTGTGTGTGTATCTGGCTGCCTCTGAGCAAAACTAACCTGCAGAAAAAGAAAAAAAAAAACATGTTCCTTTTGTCCAGCTGGTGGAGGTTATGCAATTTGTCTCCTGATGATTTTAGACAGTTGGCTAATTGAACACCATGTAGACAGGACTGCATAGTGAGCATCAACAGCTCCTGCAAGACTCTGAATAGACAGGAAGGAGTTTGACAGTGACGTGCGGTCAGGGGAGGCAGAGGGGTCTTAATATTGATGCCGAAGAAAATCCATGACATCTGACTTCAGAAAAATATAGAAAAGACAAACAATCCATGAGAACTTGATTTGTTGCTGAAAACAAAATTTAAATGATCAAAGTCTGTAATCACCTTTTGAACACAATAGTTATTCATTGGAAGAGTGATGAAAATATCTCAAAACATCTTTTCACTCTTAAAAAATGTTTTTTTTTTAAGTTTTAATTCAAGACTCATCATTCTGCACTTTAGCAGAATAAGACTGTTTGTAGCTGCGATAGCCCACAGAAAAATCACTTTAACAGAAAGACGAGAAGAAAGTTTCCATATTTATTCAGTTTCATGCTCATGGTCTCCCCGTTTTACGTCATCAGAACCACTGCTGTCATAAAGGATTTTTGTTAAAGGTAAATAAAAAACACAATGTAGACAAATTAAACTAGCAAGTTTGTTTTAACTTCAACTTAACAAAAATAGCATCATTTAATAGATGAAATTTCCTGATTAATTTGTTTGTGGCAAGTTGACATGATACAAAAGAGAAGGAAACTAATAAGTAAAACAAGGCAGATTTAGAAAAACCGATTCATTTGTTTTCTGTTCATTCAGAAAGTAATTGAAGTTAAAAAGAAAAAGGAACCAGGAGGATCTTTCTATCTCGAATATTTTTTCAGTTTTATCATTCTGTGCAGATCAAGACTGCATTATTTAATCCAATAATCCAAATTCTTGTTTGATTTTTTTATGCAATCACTTATGGATGCAATCAGATATGAATGCCACGCTCTTAACATCACAAGAACTGACCTATTATTGTGACCCCCAAAACATTGACAGGAGCAAACCCTGATTCCTCACAGCCAAGTCACATTTTTGTCAAAGCATGTCAGACATTTTATCAGACATTTAGTAAACTGTGTCAACTTGTTCGCATACCGCTGTGGCCTTTTCCTGCATCAGAAGCAGTCCTTCAGTGACACATTTACTTGTACTTCCAGTTTTGTTCACATACTACGAATGAACTGTTCAAGGTGAAATGACGCTCGACAGAACTGTGTCAGGATATTTAGTGAGAAAAAAAAACAGCAGACATTTGAAAGGAGCTGAAAGAAACATTTTTAAATGAACCTTTCAGGCACAGAATATCCCAACACCCCATTAACGTGTTTGAGTAAAGAAAGATACCACCAGATTTAATCAGACTAACAAGCTCAACTCAGCAGCACAGTCCACTCTCTTTACATGCATGACCTGAGCAGATGCATGATTAACTTATAGGGTGTGCAGCTGGATGAACAGAGGACAAGATGTTGTCAACCCTCATCTAACAGCAGCAATTTTAAAATAAAATTCCCATTCCTAATTTCCTAATCCAGTGCATACGGGTGGCTGGTTAGCATTTACTCACATGAGTTAATGAGATACAACTGTGTGGAGACATGCGTGTTCTTGGCACAAACTGGAAACCACAAATTTTGACAAGGGCAGCAAAGCAAGCATGCTTCCACCATTCAGACTCGCATGCGACACAAATCCTCTGTACTGTCTGCTGGAGGCTGGGAGCTGGCTGACCCGGGCCGATCTCAGTCCCTGCACTCTCCAACACCAGATGTAGGTCGCAAAGTGCTGCAGGGGCCGGGGGATGCAGGGCCCCGCCTGTTTGTGTGCAATAGAGGGAAGGGGGGGGGCTGGAGTTCATTGTGTGCAGACGTGTATTTCTGTGTGCGGTGAGAAGGGGAGAGAGCGGAGTGATGATTGCACTGTATGAGTTCATCACCAAGGACATGGCCCCCAGCACACTGTCTCCATCGCTGTCACATTGTATCGTCCCAAACAGGCCACATGAAGCCTGACAGCCAGGCAGATGAGACTGAGGCAGTACTCCCATCTCTCTACGTACTCGTCCCTCTCTGTTGTTTTTCCTCCCAGTCTCTAAATGATTCGCTATCAGATAACTAGTTAAAACGCAGCAAGGGGTGAAGATGTTTGGCATCAATAAATGTTATTATCGGTATTAATGTTCATAAGACTAGAAAAAAAAGACTAAATCCAAACTGTGCCAACAGGACAGTACTAAAAGGGCTGGAGACACAGGACTCTGGGATGTAGACGATTCAATCTGAACTGGTTTCTTCGGCAGCCGCTCATTTTCTCATCATCCAGCTGAATGCGTTGTCCAAATTAAATGTTAGATACTGGGAATCTGAATATAAAACTCAGAAATCATCCCAAATCCAGTAGCATTCGAACACATTTGCTGTTTATCACACAACAGAGCCCCTCTGTTTAATGGACTGTAAAGCTCGAAGTGCCGACATTAAGGCTCTGAGCTACAGATGCCAGAGCCAACGGTGCATGTTGCAGTAATGTATTAATGATGCACATCAATGTTTGAGCTGCTTTTTGAAAAATGTGAACATTAACTGTGGATGCAGGTTTTTCTCTACTTCGAGTAAAGTTGGGGTAAAGGTCGCAACATGGACAGTGGAGGCTGGTAAAGAAAAACTTTCTCTGAATCAACTCTGCATGCAGATGCATTGATAAACTTGAGCCAGTTTAACTGAAATCTAAATGACTAAATGTAACTTGTCCTAAATGATCTTCACTGTTCTCAGGCAGCATTTCAGTGACCCATATAAAAAGCTCAACTGGAGAACAAAATTGAGACTGGATGTCTTATTCATGTTGAGACACTGACTCCATTAAAACATTTTAGTGTATTTATAAATGCATAATTTTAATCTATGAACATAAGCATTCTTTAAAAGAACCTTCTGGTAACAACACATCTTGGTTCCACCTTTTTAACCAATCAGGTAGCTAACGCTATGCTACATCCCTGATGACTAGGAGTTTCTATTTCTAGAAGCAGTACGACCTTTCAGCAGCGATGGTGATGTATGAGCATGTCTTATTTATGAGATGCCTTTGGATGGAAGAGTATTTAAATATAATCAGGAAGGTGCGTTATCCAACCCCGTAACTAGACCAAAATTTATGTTAATACACCACAATTACAATGTTCACCACCAGTAGATGTGCATGAGCTATTGTCTGTTAGAGAAAGAAATGAGTTGGGTCTAAAAGTGCAGATGAGCATTTTAAATGTCTATTAACCTGCCTAAGATGTTGTCTGGTGGAGTTTTGTAAGTGCTGCATAAGTAAGATAATTCAGAACAAAAAAAACCCATGTCTTTTCTGTGTAGGACAGTGATTTGATTTTTATTTGCTCCCAAATTAGAAAAAAATCATCTTGTCACAGGAGAGATTAAAACTGTGAAATTGTGTAAGTGTGACCTGCTGCTTCACAAAATGAACAGGCTGACATTTCTGGCTTTTTACCTCATTGTGTTTCTTTAAGTGGATTACCTCAGCCTGGTTAAAATGCTGGACTCTGAATGCTGATGGAAAATTTCCAGAATGTGGTTTTCTCAGCATCTTGTGAAACAAGCTAAGTGTCCTGAAAAAAAGTTGCTGTTTTTCCCCAGAGGTTCATTTGCAACCAGCATTTGGAAAACCACAACAGTTAAGTAGATATTAAAGCACACTTTTGATTAAACCCAGATTTCAATATTAAAAATGTTTATTGATCTTACATGTGCTTTCATTGACTTGATGTGAAATCATAATTGACATAAATAGGTTTAAATCTACTATTCAAGTGTGTTTCACTTCATGATTTAAGTGAACTTTTCCATAATTTAATGAATATGACTGGACATCAAATTTTAAAGCTTATTTTAGATAATAACAACTGAAATTGCCCCTGGTGGGAACAATCTCAGGTTTGAGTCAAAGTTCTGGTTTACCTGTTAATGTAACTGGGAGGCTCCAAAATATCCAGATTTTAAGTTCAGTTTTGATGTAAAACAAGCAGTAAACACAACAAGAGTTGTTTTTGCTTAATTTGTTTCCCGTGTGTCAAAAGCACATAGCAGCTGACACCTAATCATTCGCATGTGGTCGTCTGATCACCTGGTTAAAGATATATACACCATCCAACTGTTTTCTTAACTCACAAACTTGAGCATCCCAGGTAGAACACTTGAATTAAGAAAATAAAAAATTTTTCAAGACTGGAAACATGGTTGACACGCATTACAGAAAGGTTTGTTTTGGTGAATAGGTTTATGGAATTAAATTTTATACATCTGATTCCAGTCAGCAGTCATTTTATTAGAAAAATACATATTCTAACAGAAACAAAAGTTCATCTGCATGTTCATACACTGATGGTAAAAGTAAAGCTGTATCATGAATAAATTTTTTCTTGAAAATTTATATTTCACATACCACAATCACTGTGAATTTCTGCCTTTACATGCATGCTTTTTGCTATAGGTAAAAACGAGGGACAGAGGATTTAAAAAGCAGCTCTCACTGCATCACCGATGAAAAGGAGAAACCAGCTGAATCCTACCACAAACAAGTGAAGCTCAAGTCACGAGACCGTAAATATTAGAAATCTGAGTAATCAGTAGCGATCATAATGTGGTCGATTATTGGAGTTGTATCCCTGATTGGAGCCTCTGGACCCAGACTGATATCCACTGCCATGCCCCCAGTTCCTGTCTCTGTCATGCCAGTGCTGTCCGCGACGGTCCCCTCGCCATCTCCTGTCTTCTCCCCAACTGCGGTCTCTGTGGCCTCGGCGGTCCTGGTACCTGGAAAGTATTCATAAAAACCCAATTATTACAACATAAAGCATTCCCCATGAAGCAGCTGACTGAACACAAACTGGACCAAACGTACCTGTTGTCCCTACCCCTCTGGTTTCCCCCTCCACGCCCCTGCCAGTTCTCAACAATTGGTGGCGGGTCAGCTGGACGTTTCAGATATTGCTGGTATTCACTGTCCTCCGGTGAAAACCTGTTAGAGAACAGCTCCTCGTAGCTCTGCGTGTTTTTTGAGGTGTCAGACATCCTGTTAGCAAGGCGATGAAAAGAAAAGGCTGTTAAACTTTGAAGACAAAAAAAGAACAAAGTATGAGACAAAACTGGTGTTATAGGTGATTTTGACTTTTTCAAAAACAAAAAAAAACAACATAACTTCAATACTATGTTTAGAAGTTTTATTATACAAAACAAATTTGAAAAACATTTAAAGGTGCGTCATTTTTCAAGAGCTGAACGTGGATCAGATTATGATTAAAATACAAGTTTCAAGCCAAAACTTAAAACTGTCCACCTCAAATCTGAAGATGAACATTGACTTAATTTCCCAGTATTATGACAATAAATACTCATCCCAATCAGACATGCGTCTTCATCAGAACTAAATCAGACAGAAAATCTGTAAAAGCCACTGGGCCAAAAAAAAATCTCAAAATCGGGTAGATTACTGCGAGTTTTACAATGTAGAGTGGACAAATGTTGATGAAGATTCAAATATACTAACGCCTAGTGAAAGCAGCATGCTTGGCTGCAGTCCCTAAAGATCCTTAATATGTTGTCATGTTTAGTTGCAACAACTAAACACAGGAAGTGTTCTTTTCTACCATAAAATATACAGGCTCTAGTTTAACTATGGGCATTTAAACACGTATATAAAAAAGCAGCTTAATAGAAACTACTAAACTGAGTTGCTATTATTGCTAACACGGATTTTAAGATTGTTTTGGGTTTTTTTCCTATGAAGTTCGCAGCTATGAACTCCAAGCCAGGAATTGATCCAGTACAACTACCATAATTAAAACATAAAAGTTGTCCTTCTAATGCACTTTAGCGGATCATTTAAGAACGTACCTTTTCCAAGACAACTGAACTGTTAGCTTTAGCGTCAAGCAGCATCGGTCCGTCACTGAAAATATGTCCCCTGAAACACAGAAGCTTGAAAAGATTGTTCCGGGAGCGCGCGCACCTGCTCCTGATTACAAGCTTTCCAGGTATTAGAAACCTCTTTAAAAGCTTCTTTATCACCATCATTTGTCCGTGTTATGAAGACGCAGTTTAACTAATATGCATATTCGTTGTACATCTGACTGTATAACGGATCTCAACTTGAATTCAGCATTACAAACATGTGTTTTTTTTTTTTAAACAAAACAAAAATCAGCTCTGAGTTCTGTCTGTTTGGACATTTCGTGATTTCAGACCACAGTTGTCAGCGCGAAGCCGCAGCCCAGCACCGCAGATACCGCAGGTTTAAAGAGAGTGGGTGTGTGTGTGTGTGTGTGTGTGTGTTTTTTTTTTTTTTTTTTTTTTTTTTTTTTTTTTTTTTTTTTTTTGCAAAAGGAGGCAGGTGGAGGAAGCCGCTCCGTGTCGCTGCTGCTCGCTGCCTCCGCTGCCCTTTCACATTGAAACGCAATCCCTCAGGGGAGGAAGAAACTCCGCGCTGAGACCAGACAGGCGAACATCAACTTATTTCATTATCGCCCTACCGCAGGAAGCGAGGAGGAAGCCATTCTTAAGTGGGATTAGCGCCTCGCGTTTGACAGGAGCGACAAAACCAGGAGAGGATTTAAAAAAAAATACAAAAACAAAAAATAAAACTTCCTGAACTGAAGGTGTTTCTGTAGGAGCGAGCTTGACAACCCGGTGAATCGAGTTTACGGAGAAGCGCTCTCGTATTTCACTTGTCTCTCAGCAGCAAGACTTTTTTTTTCCCCTGCTGCGGACAAAGCGGGGTTTTGACTCCGCCGACCACTAAATATTTTTTGAGGACCTCACTTTTCACATCATTTTTCTGTAGCTTCCAAATAAAGGAAAGGAGTTGCGACTCGAGCCCGCTGCAATGGGGTGAGTGATCCGGAGAGCGCCGTCCTTCAGAGCCTTTATTAACACCTGACTGATCAGTCAGCGCGTCTCGGTTCGCTGAAATTCCTCTATAGCTGTTCACCTGAACAGGGACACCCGTCTCTCCCCGACCGTCCGTGACGAGGACCCCTGCTTTACAAGCTTATATTCACAGACATCTTTTGTGAGATACTACTACTTTTTATGTTAAAAAAAATGTTTTCTTGCGTACTATATGAAAACATAGCACATAATTTTAAGCGTTTTACCTTCTTCATAATCTGTGCAGCTGCAGCTTTGCGGCTTATGATATGGAGGTGTCGGAGTCAACACTGCCCACTAACGAGGAGAGATATGGCACTTGTGTGTGTGTGTGTGTGTGTGTGTGTGTGTGTGTGTGTGTGTGTGTGTGTGTGTGTGTGTGTGTGTGTGTGTGTGTGTGGAGCTAGTGTGCACTTCCACTGTGGTTTACAAGAAGCAGCACATCATTTTGTGTCTATAGTCTGTTGTGTGGAGTGTTGACTCTGGCTCATCTCCATAGTTATGCAATCAGTAGCCCACTTGGCATATTCTTGATTGGGGTATTTATGTGAGGTACCTACTCTTCCTCTACATTTTTACACAATGATTTTTATTTTTTAAGTTCATTTTAATATGAATTTTCTCTTAAAGAATATGTAAATTTTAGGGATTGCTCTATGTCACATGCAAAGCTAGTGCTGTGTGTGTGTGTTTTTTTTTGTTTGTTTTTGTTTTTTGTTTTTTAAAGGCATTAATGTTCAGTAACTTTCTGAAAACCTGTCATCCACTTCCACATTATTAGTTTCTACCCAATTACACAAGTTTGTCTCTAGCTACATGTTTAATCAAACCAGTTTTACAATCTCGTCATCATCTTGGAAGTTTTACAGCAGTCACCAAACCGGTTTGGAGAGGTGTTGGTCTTGTTGTGTCATGAAACTGGCCCCATGGACCAGGACCAGGAGCCAGGCCAAGACGGGGCCTGGCTCCGGGGTGGTTTCATTCTGCCTTATGACATCAACTAGCCGAGAGAATCTTGGAAGGCGGAGATGCTGCTCTCCTTGGAAATCAGGATTCATCTTAAGGTTACGAGTAAAGTTCGCCATCACTGTGTTTCAGAAGATGCTTCCTTTGTAATCAGCTGATGGCTGATTTGTCCAATATTTACATAATCAGATAATCAAAAGTGACTTTCTAAATGGGCTCAGTTCAAAACTTTTTTTTTTAATTCAAAAAAATTTTTTCTAATTTTGAGCCTTTTTTCGATTAAGACGTGGGCTGTCTCTCTGAAATGGTTTATCTCTGCAGCACACAATGCTAAGAGAAATCTGCAGTGTACTCTGCAGTGTACGTATGCCTGTGATTAAACAAGTTTACACTTGAATCTCAGCAAGAAGGAAGTATAGGAGAAGCGCTTTCAGGCAATGATGCATCTTGTTCTCATGCTTGTTTTCAGTCAAATCCTTTTCTCCACTGTTAGTGTTTTGTCATTACATGAATACCAGGCTGCTCTTCTGAAACTGTGACAAGTTTGTGTACATGTCGGGTAATGATGTTCAAAGTGGCACATCTAAAGCGGAACCTGTAGTTGTGACGTTATATATTATAGTTATAGCTTTACAGGCTCTGACCAGAGTGTCTGATATGAATATCAAACTGATGGAGGGTCGCAGGTTAGACGTTTTTACTGTAGGCCACAATTTATGTCCTACGCTATTCAAATCAAATCGTATGGATTCCCAGAATTATTCAGTTTTTCAATATGGCTCTCCTGCCAGGGAAGCATTTCTCATGGGGCGACATGAGCTCTCGGTTAATGGGTAATTTCTTTTTACTTGTATTTTCAGCCAACTTGTAGTCGGCACCCCACAGAAAGTCGCAGGTCTGTTTCTCTCGACTTCCTTGGCTAAAAGAAAATCAGGTTTATATTACATTGTCTATTTAAAAAATATAAAACGCACGTTCTGGTGCTTGGCGAGTCTTTGGGATTCATGAAGCTTTTATTCCATTTGAATACAGAAACAAAAGTGTGCTCCATGATTGTTTTAGTATTCTAAACACTATATTGTGACCTAAAAATGTATATCTATAGACCAGGGCTGAAATGGTTACTCTATTATTGAAATAATTGTCAACGTATTTAGTAATGGATAAATAATTAACTGGAGTGCAGAGACTCAAAAAAAGGCCATTTGGTTTAAAAAAAGAAAAAAAAACATAGAGGTGTAATCAACCCAAAACTGTACAAAAAATAAAATTTACAATTAAGATAAAAATATCTTTGCCTGTAATGTTTCAACCAAATTTTAAGTGGTAATGTTTTAGCATCACCTGCTTCGGATTTACTAATAGAATGCTATATTTTTACATTTTAGGCAACCAAATATTTATTTTCATTATTAGAAAAAGAATGTAATTGTTTCTTTTGAATTATTGTAGTATTTATTTTCATCATTTATTCTGTTAAATGAATAATCTGAGTAATGTGCCTTTGTTTTACTCTGGTTGTTTTCATCTGAACATTTGGTTTGTGGACTGATGATTGTTTCTTGGATATCGTGTCATAGGAAGTTGATTTCTCAGGAAATTGTAGCAGAAGTTTTACAGAGGCGATCTCACTTGTGCAATGTCTTTCTCTGCGATTACACCCTTGCGATGATGCAACAATGTTGCACCCTAGGGATCAGTCAGAGCTGCCCAGGTGTGTCTGACTTTTTGTTTTCGCTTCATTATTGGGAGTTCTTCTCTACGAAACTATTCACTTCTAAATGAAGTTTTAGATTAATCACTTCACAAAAAATACTTAGGAGAGGAAACACCCAGGTTATTTTTCTTTTGTACCTTAATTACTAGTCTTTGTATGAAGTCACTTTGACGTCATTTATTTTTGTTTGTTTGTTTGTCACAAAAGTTCCATCGGACTCATTGAGGCTATTGTGAATTTGTCTCAATAATAATAACATAAACATACGCCTTAATGGCCTGCCTGCAGTTGAACGCTGCTGAATTTTGGGAGTGAGAAAATTGTACTGCTGCAGTGTGAAAGAAAGTTGTATTTTAGGAAGAGGTGAGTAGCTAATGCACCGCGTCTCTGGAAGTACTGAAAACTAAAGCTTAGATTGCCTGAAGCCCTGTTGTACAGAATAAGCACACAGGCAGCCAGCAGTATAATCAGCATATTGCTATTTAAAGCAAGCTATGCTGGGAGCAGCCGTAACACAGGGATAGATGATAATCTCCTGGCTGGCCAGAGAATGACATCCAGAGGCTTAACACTCATTGATTAGGCTCTGTGACATGGCAGCAGGTCATTTGGCTGCCCTGACAGGAGACTGGACTTTAAGCCTAACCAGAGAACCAGAGTGTGTGTCCTGTCTGCCTCTGGTTTGGAGGCAGCCCTCGTTGAGTTCTTGTTTACAAGAACAGAAGCAGGTTTTAGCTGTAAAAAGGGTAAAGGAAGAAGGACACGGACGGTGGATTGAACGTTATCTCACCAGATGGTTGAAGCCCAGGAGCCCATCTGCTGTCATACTGGGTTTCTGGGGAGATTTCCTCACTCCCTTTTCCTTGGATCTCTCAGATTAAGTTGGGCTCTTCATGTCACCTCAGTGTGGCGGTGGGAGGCCTGCTGCGTCTGCCGGCGTGAACCTGGCCCGTCGCCTGTGGGACATGAGACGCTGCTGTATGACGCCAATAACTGGCAAGACTTATGAAGGTCACTGATGATGACTGCAGCTACAGTAGGCTGATGGGGAATGAAAAAGAAAAAAATGGGGATTCTGTCAATTCAGGTGTTCAGCATAGGTTGTTTCTATAATAAAACACTACAGCATTATAGAAAATCAGAGTGCAAATGTAATTAAATCACATTTTTATGTCGAGTGATTTGACTGTATTGTGACTGACTGCTGGTATGTCAGGGGTTGTATCACAATATTCAAACATTTCTTAAGGCAAAACTTACTGATCTGTGAGCTGGTATTTTTGTGCATTGTTTTAATATTTTTATTAACTGAACAATTCAGGCCTAAGATTATATTCTAACTTTGGTTGATGTTTGTCTTTAGATCCTCATTTTCTTCCATTTTTAACAAGAACGTTGTCTTTTTTTTTGTTTCTTTTTTTTTTTTGTCTTGTAAATAAAGCTATAAAAATATGTCAAATTAAACCAAATATCAGATTTATCCAATTATAGGGTCAAAATCTTGCCCCATGTTTGAGTTTTATCATCTCAGCCACTAAAAATAATAAGGTGCGGGTATTAAGGGCAGTTAGTCTGTCCACCTGGGCAAATCTACTATCAATTTGCAGAGCGTGTACTTGAACACTTTTAATGATAAATAATTTAGTTTTCTACCAAAGATTGCATCCAGGAAGTCTGTTGGCGTTTCAGTATTTTAAGTCATTTTTGGGATGGCAATTTTGTTTAAATAATTTTGAAAATTACTTGCAGTTATGTTTTGTGGCTGCAGTTGTATGTAGATGGAACAGGTCTTTCTAACGCCTGATCTAAATGTCAGCGTTTTTCCTGTCCTGTCATGAAAGCTTACTTAATTTGTTGTTATTCATGATCTGTTTGGGCTTTTACACAGTAGAGGCTGTCCTGCAGAAAGCTACATGTAGGGGTGGTAAAGCTCCATGCCATAAGTAATTCAACTTATATTAGATATCACATTATTTAATATAAACAAATATCTCATTTTGGCTTCATTCAACCTGTTGAATAAAATACTGGCACATAAAACATGGACTCATGACACTAAGACTACAAAGAGATAATGTATACATAAAAAGTTCTTTGTGATACTTATATGGCACAAGTTAAAGTGTCAAAAGTTATTTTTCATGCTTAACTGCAATTATGAGATGTCACAATGTTTGTAGTTGGTGAGAAAAAGAAACCACAAAAAATGATAAAGTGTAAACTTGTCATCATGTTGTTGCTGTTTTCCTTCTATATTAAGATTTGATTGTTTTCTCCACCTGCATCACCACTGACAGACACCATTACTTGACATCACCTCAGTATTAAATTGAGAACTTCTATCCTCAGTATAAAGTCAAGCAAAGTGTAAATTCATGGTCAAACATTTAGTAACGTTAACAAGCCTGTTCGTGAAGCTGTCTATGCCGACATAATAAGGTGCCACCATGGAGATGTAGTGGAGGAAAGGGCATCCTCTGAAATAAAACCACGTGGGTGTTTCACAACATCCTCGACAGCTCGCAGTCCTCTGCTAGGTCTAGAAATGTGTTGAGCAGAGGGAGGAATATATCGACACTTCTTTGAAAAGCAGACTGGGGCAGGCTGACTTCATTTGACATGTTTAGTGATCACAT